GCTCTGAGCTTTCAGCACAGAGCCTGAAGCGGGGCTCAAACTCACGATTTGTGAAATCATGACCTGAGCCGATGTTGGGACACCTAACCAACTGAGCCACCCAGGTACCCCTCGGGGTTGTAAGTTTGAGTCCCATATTGGGTAGAGAGATTATTTAAAAATAAAATCTTTGAAATAAAAAAATAAAAACTTTGTGTTATTGTTGAACTGAAACAATCTGCTGGGGGTGTATGTGTCTAGAATATTAATGTGTGATTTCTCTAACCCTATTCTTTCTAATCCTTAAAAAAACACCTAGTTAAACAAAAATGGGTCATCTTGAAGAAGAAAAAGTCACCAAGGTGACATGCAGTTTCTAGGGTGTAGGCAAAAAGAGGATTTGCTTTGGTCTGGGGATGGAGGCTGGTACTGGTAGTCAAGAAGCAATCAGCTGTCAAACTTTAAGAAAAACTCAGAAATAAAAATAAAAAATAAATATGCAAGTCGGTAGTAAGAAGAGCAAAAATGGCACTGAAAAATGCAGCAAAATCCCCAAAATCCAGGTACAGAAGAATCAGAATAGAATAGAGTTCTGCTGTCTTGAAAGGACAGAATGAAAAGAGTCACCAGTCTCACTGTCTTGGCTAATGGACTTTAGGCAAAGGAGGGTCATCCTCCAGCTAGACAATAGCAGAAGTCACCCCAGCAAACTGCGTTACCAGGACAAAGTTTTCATGATCCTCCTGCTTATAGGGTTACCTCAGGGCTCACCCACAGACTTCAGTGTGAAATGAAAGTATGAAAGAAATAAATGAGAAATTCCATTTTGTGGAATTATCAAATTGACCATGACATTAAAATAGTCCATTATTTATTCCCAAAGTATCAACTTTATTTTTTTTGTAACTTTAAAAATATATAACATAATCATAAAATTAAAAATCTGAAAAAATAGAGAAACAAATCAACCATAATGTATCCACACTAACCCAACACTATTAGCATTTTGCTGTATTTCTATTTACATCTAATTGTTTTCCTTACACATATTTTTTACAGTTTATGCATTTATTCAGTAAATGTTTTTGAGGGCTTATTTATCAACCAAGTGTTTTGCCATGCACCAAAGATGAAATAATCATTTTATTCTGACAATTTTTTAACGTATTAGTAAGTCATAAATGCTTCCATTATGGAAATGAAATCATGAACCTCATTTTTCTACCTTTTATTGTTATTCAATACACATGCAGAAAAGTGCACAAATTGTAGTGTTACAACAATAAATGATCAAAAACTGAACACATCCATGTAACTACATTCAGGTCAGAAAGTACACTACCAGCATCCTGGGTATCTTTAATTATTTTAAAGATTAACAACAGGACTACCTAGTAGTTTCTTCCTCTCTATAGTTCATTCTCTTTCTTCCCATACAGTTGGTACAGAAAGATCAGGCCTAGAGGTAAGGCCTAGGTATTAGGAGTGAAGATCAGGGGAAAGAAAACATGGAAGTGCATGCTCACTGACCATAACCACCTCTCTACTAGGTTTCAAGAGGGATGAGTAAAAAGAATTTTAGAGATTTGTCTATAAATCAGTCCAAGTAGGTCCCGAGCAGAGGCCCCAGATAAATACAGACAATACATTAGCTGGAGTTTCCCATCACATGGTACCTAGAATTACGGTGGTTGGCAACGACAGAGCAGGATTTCATAAGCATGAATCCTGGCCTCCTCTGATAGAATGAAAAGAATAAAACTTAGACATATTTTACAAAAAAGAAAGTTGAGGACCTGAGAGAATGTAAGCATGCATTAGCTTCTTTTCCAGCTATTCGTTGCTGCATAATGAATGACCCCAAAACTAAGTTGTTTAAAACAACAACCACCATTTATTATCTTTCCTGGTTCTGGGGTTGACTAGCCAAGGGTCTCACTCAGGGTTCCTCACAAAGTTGCAGCCAGCTGGAGCTGGAGTCATCCAGAAGACTTCTTCACTCATGTGTGGTAGCTGATGTTGCAGGGTGGCTGAGGCCTCAGCCAGAGTACTACTCATGGCCTCTTTATGTACACCGGCCTTGCTCCTGTACAGAATGGCAACTAGATTCCAAGAATACAAGGCAGAGGCTGCATCACCTTTTATGACCTACCTCTGAAATCACATAATACTATTTGAGCTGTAGTCACAGGCCCATGACAGGCGCCAGGGGGTATAGGCGGTGACACAAACACTGTAACTCTCCATGGGAAGAGTATCAACATTACTTTGTAAGATGAGAACGTGGAGATCTTGTTGCAACCATTTGGAACACACACTGCACAGATGCTCATCCTACATGATTCATCCTCGTAAACCCCCATGATAGCACTTATCATACTATGTGAAACTGTCTGCCTGTTTCTGACTCATCTCTTCCACCATAGTATGAGCTTCCTAAGAGGAGTAACTAGATCATTAGAGTAATCTTTGTATTCCTGACACTTAGCAGATGCTCAAAAATTTAATGAATCAATGAACAAACAAATGCAACTCAGACTTAAAGAAATATTTTTTAGGTGCGCCTGGGTGGCTCAGTCAGTTAAGCGTCCTACTTCAGTTCAGGTCATGATCTCGTGGCTCGTGGGTTCAAATCCCGCATCGGCCTCTGTGCTGACAGCTTGGAGCCTGGAGCCTGCTTCAGATTCTGTGTCTCCCTCTTTTTTTGCTCCTCCCCTACTTGTGCTGTTTCTCTCTCTCTCTCTCTCTCTCTCTCTCTCTCTGTCTCTGTCTCTCTCAAAAATAAACATTAAAAATTTTTTTTAATATTTTAAAAACATGTTTCTAAAGTATCTATAAAAGTTCCTTTATCTAAATCTTATAGGCTGAGTTAACCTAAAAGACTGTCAGCTTTTAGATTTATTAATAATTTTTAAGTTTCATTAAGAATATATTCTCACATCTGACTAATATAGCTTTCCCTAAGTAATAAAGTTGCTACTGATGCAACCATTATATCCAACAGCTAAAAATGTATTAGCAACACAAAATGCTCACTTTAATATATATTCAGAATAACTTCGGGATTTATTTTTTTCCCTTGAAATTGATGAGATATTTTATGACAAGCACCCTTGAAAGGAAATTTATGTATAACATCACTGTGGCTAAATATGCCAAATGAAACAATTTAAAACCACTCCAAGAACTTAGTGTACTCAAGTACAAACATACAATTTAAAAGTATTTTTATTCATAAATTACATATTATTTTATGCTATTGGGTATAGGTCATTCAAATCTAAATTATCACTGTAAAATCAACTTATTTTCTTTTTCTTGTCAGGAAATATAACCAAGATGAAATAAAATTATATAACTCAAAACTCAAAAATTAGTTAAGCTATTCCTTGGCCTAAACAAGGCACACACACATTCAACTCACCAAAGTACTTATTTAAAGAACACTATGCCTTGCAGTATACCAATGCTTAAACAATTTCACTACTGTCCCAAATATCATCAAGCAGTCCTTAATCTGTTGAGACTTTGGATATAATTCTGTTTTGATCACATGTCTCAAAAGGCATTACTAATCATGAATCTCTGCAAACAAGAACAGATGTTCACCAACAGCACTTACCAATTAATATCTGACCACTCTTCATAGCAGATCCTCCTGGCAACAGGCCATGGACCACAAGTCTCTCTCCACTGCCCTGTTTTCCAGTTTTTTTCCAGCTCCACTTGGTCTGATGAATAATCCCAACCAGTACTTCCAGAAGCTTCAGCTGCTCTTTGGCTTTGGTCACAGTTAACTTTTTGGGGTTTACATAAATATTCACGTCTTTGTATCGCTGTTGGACAACCACTCCTGTTTTCTGGTTGGACTGATGCTTTAGAATGGACACTGGTTCATTGTCATTGCTATTTTTTTTATTGTAGCGCTTGGGTAAAAGGCTTTTACTTTTTAAAATTTTCGTAAACCGCTTGAGTTTAGGTTCATACTTTTTTCCTTCTTTGTAATCATCCTCTTCAATTATAATCTCATTTTCACTAAACCTGACATGGTTCACAGTAGGAGTCTCAGGAAGAAGGCTTTCTTCTTCATCCTCACTCAATTCCAAATAAAATAATTCTCCATTTTTCCGCACACTGTCCAGCCATTCAGGTTCAACATCACTATGAAAAAGAGAAAAGATAATCTGAATAGCAGCCAACATAAGAAAAATAGCTACGTCTTTTGGGCACAGGTGGTACAGAGAGGTGGGAGGTGGTGAAAATTCTTTGATTCTTTCAAAGTCTCCTTGCTATTTCTAATTTATTGTAAACATCAACATTATTTCCTAGGATGCTTTTTGTAGAGTCTTGAAGAAGTGGGGTTGGAGGACAGGGATCAAAAAGGCACCAGTGATAGAAAAAAATAAAAATAAAAAGGAAATGGCCTCCTTCTAGAATCTAAGGGTATTTTTTATTATTATTTTAATTCAGCCTCTGTATGGTTATTGTTCACTTTAGACATTTCACTGGATAATAATTTACATTAATAGTTGATTATGCAATTATATCCAGACATAAGCCATTTGGAAACTGGACACAAAAACATCGTATTTGCACAGAAATAATTCATCGTGGCTGTCATGTTAAATGAAAGCTAAAGCCTACCACTATTAATAAGATTTATTTATACAATAAACTTCCAAAAAAAGAAACATTCACCTCACCATAAAATCCTTGCTCAAAATGACCAGTTTATAATCACAGTTAGTAACGATTGCTTCCATAACTTATAATTTCTGTAAAACTCCTTTTTGTGAATTGTAGTAAGAAAAGTAAACCACATATTACATAATTTGTCACGTGATTGCTTAAAAAAAAAAACCTTTTAACTGGGAAGTAGGCCACCGAAAAAAGCAAAAGTATTGCTATTAAAATGACTGAAACAGCGTTAAAAAACAAAATGCTCATCTTAAGGTAACAAACCTAATCATGAACTCTACCCTGCCTGTTCAATGTTACGAACACCCTACCTTTCAAACTGCTATTTTTAAAAGCAAAACTGGTTACAGTGAAAAATATAATATGTAAAGAGAGTCTTTCCGAAACATCAGCTGTAATATCCTGATGTAAAAGGGTATAATTTGTGTTCTAATCATTCCATCAAACAGACATTTCTGTTTCTGCAGTGTTTATTAGCAACTCTGGTTCTTTTAAAAGTTAGCTATCTCTCTAAAAACTATGAAAATTAACCTCCCAGGGGCGCCTGGGTGGCGCAGTTGGTTAAGCGTCCGACTTCAGCCAGGTCACGATCTCGCGGTCCGTGAGTTCGAGCCCCGCGTCAGGCTCTGGGCTGATGGCTCGGAGCCTGGAGCCTGTTTCCGATTCTGTGTCTCCCTCTCTCTCTGCCCCTCCCCCGTTCATGCTCTGTCTCTCTCTGTCCCAAAAATAAATAAAAACGTTGAAAAAAAAAATTAAAAAAAAAAAAAATTAACCTCCTAAAAATGTACTCTTCTATTACGCAACTCTGAAACTAACCACTGATCTCGTTTGTGGTTGGTCATTAATACATAATTTTCAACTATATACTAATGGCTAAAAAAAGGCATAACTAGTCCCAAATATCAAATGTGTGGCATCATTTTGGCACCACTTAGCACCAGGTATTAACCATTTATCAGTTGGTTTAACCACATCTATCTGCATCCACAGAAATTAGTATTTAATAACTCTGCAATTCTACTCTGAAGATTCTAAATAAATGTCTCCAATCATAAAAAACTTAGATAACCATGTATCATAATTTAAAATGGCACAATATACATATCATGATTATATACAATTACTTATGAAGATATGTATCAATTTAAAAAAATGAATGAAATTATTTGCTTTATAATCTCACTCTTTTAATTTGGTATGTTATTTGTATTAGAACATGTGACCCCAAAGAAATATTTTTCTCCCTATGCTAAACATGAAGATGTTTCATCTTAATCTCTAAAATTTGAATGTGAAACCATTTTTAGGCTATAACTTAAAGACCTTTTTAGGTGGGGGACAGGGAGCACAGGGCATTTCATCATGAGCAAATTAACAGTGCCAGGCACTTGTAAAGTACTAGAATTATAATGATGAAAACATCAGTTCCTTCCCTTGTCTTGTGGGGAAGAGGAAGTGAGAAAGAATTCACAACAATACATAAGGTAGATGCAAGATAGAGGTCACCTAGTTTAGCCTGGGAAGGAGGGTGAGGTTGGGGAGAATTTCTAGCAGAGGAAACACAGAAGTTAAGTCCTAAAAGAGTAAGTTGCTGGGAGGAGGTATGGTGGGGGTTAAGGGGAAGAGGAAAAGAGAATTCCAAGCAGAAGTAACAGCATAAGCAGAAGCCTTGAGGGACAGTCTCCATGGCCTATGTGGACAACTAAAGCTTGTTGATGGTTGCCAAAGTAAGGATAGAGGGAACATACCTCAGCATCATAAAGGCCTTATATTAAAAACCCACGCTAATATCATCCTCAATTGGGAAAAACTGAGAGCTTTCCCTCTACAGTCAGGGACAAAACAGGGGAATGCCCACTCTCACCATTGTTATTTGACAATGTAGTGGAAGTTATAGCCTCAGTAATCAGACAACAAAAAGAAATAAAACGCATCCAAATCAGCGAAGAAGTCAAACTTTCACTATTTGTAGACATGATACTCTATGTAGAAAACCTGAAAGACCACCAAAAATTGCTAGAACTGATTACAGTAAAGTCATAGGATACAAAACCACTGTACAGAAATCTTTTGCATTTCTATACACCAAATGAAGTAGCAAAAAGAGAAATCAAGGAATTGATTCTATTTACAACTGCACCAAAAACCATAAGATACCTAGGAATAAACCTAACCAAAGAGATAAGAGATCTGTATGCTGGAAACTATAGAAAGCTTATGAAAGAAATTGAAGAAGATACAAAGAAATGGAAAAACACTCCATGATCATGGATTGGAAGAACAAATATTGTTAAAATGTCTGCACTACCCAAAGCAATCTATAATGCAATTCCTATCAAAATACCACCAGCATTTTTCACAGAGCTACAATAAACAATCCTAAAATTTGTATGGAACCACAAGACTACCCGAATAGCCAAAGCAATCTTGAAAAAGAAAAGCAAAGGGGGAGGCACCACAATTCCAGACTTCAAGATTTATTACAAAGCCGTAGTGATCAAGACAGTATGGTACTGGCATAAAAACAGACACAGAGATTAATGGAACAGAACACAGAACCCAGAAATGGACCCACTATTATACAGTCAACTAATTTTTGACAAAGCAGTAAAGAATATCCAATGGAAAAAAGACAGCCTCTCCAACAAATGGTGTTGGAATAACTGGACAGCAACATGGAAAAGAATGAAACCAGACCACTTTCTCACACCATACATAAAAATAAATTCAAAATGGTTGAAAGACCTCAATGTGAGACAGGAAACCATCAAAATCCTAAAGGAGAACACAGGCAGCAACCTCTTTGATCTGTGTCGTAACAACTTTCTCCTCAGGCAAGGGAAACAAAAGCAAAAATGAACTATTGAGACTTCATCAAGATAAAAAATCTTTACAGCAAAGGAAACAATCAACAAAACTAAAAGGCACCCTTCTGAATGGGAGAAGATATTTGTAAGTGACATATCAGGTAAAAGGTTAGTATCCAAAATCTATAAAGAACTTAACCAAACTCAACACCCAAAAAACAAATAATCCAGTTAAAAGTGGGCAGAAGACATGAATAGACATTTTTCCAAGGAAGACATACAGATGACCAACAGACACATGAAAAGATGCTTGATATCACTCATCATCAGGGAAATACAAATCAAAACTACAATGAGATATTCTTCACACCTGTTAGAATGGCTAACATTAACAACACAGGAAAATAACAGATGTTGGCGAGGATATGGACAAAGGGGAACCCTCTTACACGGTTGGTGGATGCAAATTGGTACATCCACTCTGGAAAACAGTATGGAGGGTCCTCAAGTTAAAAACAGAATTACCCTACAATACAGCAACTGCACTACTCGGTATTAACCCAAAGGATACAAAAATGCAGATTTGAAGGGATATATGCACCCCAATGTTTATAGCAGCATTATCAGCAATAGCCAAATTATGTAGAGTCCAAATGTCCATCAACCAATAAGTGGATAAAGAAGATGTGGTGTATATGTATGTATATGTGTGTGTGTGTGTGTATATATATATATATATATATGTGTATATATGTATGTATACACATATATATGTGTGTGTGTGTGTGTGTATATATATATATATATATAAATAAATATAATGGAATATTACTCAGCCATCAAAAAGAATGAAATCTTGCCATTTGCAATGATGTGGATGGAGCTAGGTATTATGCCCAGCAAAATAAATCAGTCAGAAAAAGACAAATACCATATGATTTCACTCATATGTGGAATTTAAGAAACAAAACAGATAAACACACGGGGAAAGGAAGAGAGAGGGAAATCATAAAACAGACTCTTAACTATAGAGAACAAACTGAAGGTTGCTGGAGGAAAGGTGGGTGGGGAGTGGGCTAAATTGGTGATGGGTATTAAGGAGGGAACTTGTGATGAGCACTGGGTGTTGTATGTAAGTGATGAATCACTAAATTCTACTCCTGAAACTACTATTACGTATACTGTATGTTAACTAACCAGAATTTTAGTAAAATCTTGTACACAAAACAAAACAAAGCTAGTCAATTGTTGCCAAAGGTGGGGCGTGACAGGAAAAGTAGTCAAGTCCTCATTTTGCAAGACCTTTTAGACCATGGCAAGGGGTTTGGATTTTGTAGCATAAGTAAGAGGGCATCAATGAAGAGTTTTAGGTAGAGATTTAGGTGTCAGATATCCCTGGATAGATCTACTTTGACAAGAGAATGGAAGAAGAATTTAGTTAGTTAAGACTCAAGTCAAGAGAATGGTTAGGGAGCTGTTTTAGTAGTCCAGGCCAAGATGGTACCTAAAGCAATGGCAGAAAACATGGAAAGTAAGAAAAACATTTGAGAAATGCTTAAAAATCACTGGACTTTGAGACTGTTTACATGAGATGATGAGAGAAGGAAGGAATTAATGTCGACTAGATTTCTAGTTGGTGACTTTATTTTCATGCAT